GAGCTCTGTTTCCATTAGCGTTTGGGGTGGTTGACGAAGAGAATGATGAAAATTGGATGTGGTTTCTCTCTGAGCTCCGTGTCCTCCTTGAAAATTATGCAGAGTACATGCCAAGGCTTACCATTTTGTCTGATAGACAGAAGGGTATTGTTGATGGGGTGGAACTAAACTTCCCAACTGCCTTTCATGGGTTTTGTATGCGCCATTTAAGTGACAGTTTAAGAAAGGAATTTAATAATACTCTGCTCGTTAACCTTCTCTGGGAGGCTGCTTATGCTCTTACTGGCATTGGGTTTGAACAAAAACTTATCGAGATTGAAGCTATATCACAGGAAGCAGCCCATTGGATTAAACAAATTTCTCCCCGCTTGTGGGCAACAGCATATTTTGAGGGAACAAGGTTTGGGCAGTTGACGGCTAATATGGTTGAGTCTATAAATTCTTGGATAGTAGAAGCATCTGGGCTTCCAATAATTCAGATGATGGAGTGTATCAGACGGCATCTGATGACTTGGTTCAATGAGCGTCGTGAGATGAGCATGCAGTGGACGGGCATACTCGTTCCTTCTGCTGAAAAGTGTGTGTTAGATGCAGTTGCGCTTGCTCGTACTTACAATGTGATCCGTGCAAATGAAGCTGAATTTGAAGTTAGAACTCATGAAGGATCAGTCACGGTGGACATTCGTACCCGTTGTTGCTCATGTCGTGGATGGCAGCTATGTGGATTGCCATGTTCTCATGCCGCAGCAGCCCTCGAGTCCTGCAGGCAACATGTCTATCGGTTCACTGAGAGTTGCTTCACAGTGGCAAATTATCGGAAAGCCTACTCAGAGACGATTCATCCAATTCCAGATAGAACTCTGTGGAAGGAGATAGCTGGATTCCCAAATGAAGGTAACCCAGATATGTGGATGGTTATTAACCCGCCAAAGTCGCTTCGACCACCTGGACGACCAAGGAAAAGGCGAATTCGTACAGAAGATGGTAGTCGCACGAAACGAGTTGTGCATTGCAGCCGCTGTAATCAGACCGGACACTTCCGAACAACTTGTGCTGCCCCCATATAGTCGCCAGTACCCAAGCTGATATTGTGCAAAGAAGATATAGACTTTTCTATTTTAAGTGTCTTGATTTGTATTCTTCTGTATGTTCATAGGCTTTCCTTAGACACAGCATCTTTCCTAGGCTTTTTACTTTCGGATAATCCATGTCTAGTTGCTCGTTTGACGTCTTAAAAGATGATTAACAAACGATATTATCTACATTGAAGGGTCGGAGATGGGCTATCATTAGATTTTTAAGATACAATGTTAGTTATCTAACCTGTAGAAAAATTCATGGTTCCGCGAATGTATAGTTCAATCAGTATAACTAAAATATAGGAAGTGGAATGACATGACAAAAAAAAATACAAGTCACGTTTGCCTACCACTAATTAGTTTTCAGTCAATACTAAACTCTAAAATCCTATCAATCTTTATTGTTTATGTTGGAATAGGCTTAAACCGACCGAGCCGGACTAATGTATTAGTCAAAATTGAACCAAATCAAATTGTTGAATGCTAGTTGATTTAGTTATACTTTTAGTGCCAAAACAAACCAAACCAAACCGTGCCAATCCTTATTAGGGATCTAGTCTAGCACATGGCGATTCTAAGTCTAAAGTTTTTAACCCAAGACTGCTAAACTAAATACTAGGTACCAAATATATATATCTACAAGTTCACAACCCTAAGCCTTAAATACTAATTAAACCCTAGCTACTTCCTGTTTGGACCCCTAACAACCCGGTGAATTAGTGTTCTTTTGAAGTCAGTTGGAGACCCGAGTGCTAAACCCTAACTCATAAGCTCTGGCAAAGAATGACAACTCTAAACCATGAGTAATTAACTCTACTTAAACCCTTTTTAATGTAAAACGCCCTAGTAAGTTAGTTTATTTATTTTCAGTGGACTAATCCTTTGTTCAACGTCTGTATCTTTTCCAGTAATGTAATTTTCCTTTTCTTACAGTGTTATTGTAGGTCAGCGGACCAAGGTTCAAAAGATGAACGAGAGGTAAGGGATCTTTCACGCATGATCATTTGAAAAAAGGGAAGATGCATCGAGCTTTCTTGTACATTTCACAATGAAGATGACAAACTCTATCTCATACGAATTAGGTTTCGATACATCTTGCTTCTGGGAAAAATGCAAGGCGGTTGCCGAAGATAAGCTTAAGGAAGTAAAGAATGATGCTCTAATTACATATGATTCTATATTACTCGAAGTTGTATACATGCAAGGAACCCAAAAAAGAAAATGCTTTTATTTATTTATTTATGGATCACAGCATGTTCTTGGCAACAATATGAATGATGTTAAAAGAAACAGATATGAATGTACTGCATGCAGATTAAGTCAAAATTTTCAACCACTGGTTATCTGCTCATCACCCATACCAAACCGACCACGCAGACGCTATCTTCTAGATATGTTCACTAAGTCAGAGAAAACTTCAAAGTCAAATGCTAAGAGGTAGTCGAATATGCAAGTCAAAAATCTCAGCCATTTGTTTGCCTAATTTTTATTTGCTCATGCGAATTTCTAACAAAAGCATTGTAAACTAATATTTACATAGTATTTTTGAGAGTTTCTTAATATATAGAGTTTCTTAATACTTATGCAAGACATTGTGGTCGTGGCTCCGCTTTTAGATTAAAAACATTTTTATTTACTGCACTCATGTCTTCTCTCTTTAAAACTCTTAACATATCATGTAAGAAGAGAGATAAATACAAAAGGGTGTATACTCCCCACTGCATGTAAGTTTTAGCCCTCGTATTTATATACACGTTTGTTGGAGAAATGAATTCCCTCTTGTATAGTTTGATGTTAGGAAGAGAAACTCAAAAAGTGTTCACGATGCAACTGCTGGGTTTCTGACCACATGAAAGCTACTCATTCGTCAACATGTCCTTTCACATTCACAGAATTTATTGCCAATATGCAGCCAAATCATTAGCTTTTCATTCTCGTATTTCATTGCTTTTGTATTTGATATAAACCCGAAATTTCTATGATACTACGAAGCACGGCCGGCCTTGAGGACATACAAGTGGTTGGTGGCACTGCAAAATCATAGGGCCTCTGATTTACAATTTTATTTTACCTGTATATATAATATATATGTATTTTAATGTATGAAGATTTACCAAATTAAGCCCTCAGTGTAAGTAATCTTGTGCAGTTGAATCTCGCACAGGACCTCCAAAGTCTTACCGACAACCTTGCTTCGAAGCATAAAATATTCCAAAGTGTATTAGAAAATCTCAACATAAACAATTAAAGCTCATGACCAATTCATGTATTTTTATGTCTAATCCCAAGAAGTCGGCACAAAATGAAAGAAAGGATGCCTACTTTGTGAGCATGTGTTAGGTTTTCTAATACCAAGATGAAAATTGACACCCCTTTTTTGAGAGAACATGCTTGAAATGTGGGAACAGAAAACCTACTTGGGAAAAGGCACTTTGACATGTAGGCTTAGCATAGATATTTCATATATAGAGGTAATGATTCCATTAGCTTCTAGTATTCAACTTTATTGGTGGTACAAATCATACGATACTTACAAACATGTAGGGCCTAATGGGAAAGTTGATTTTGATTCCAAAATCTCTACTAAGAACTTTATTAATTTTGTAGTCAAGCAAAAGTTATCTTAATAATTTGTATACACCTTCTTCTCATTTCCACATTACATAAATTTGTGGGCTAAGTTCGACTCAAATTTGAAATTAAAATTTTTATTTTATATCAACGTAGCGATTCCAAATAAAACTCTCGAGGGATATCAAGATTTCGTACATTGAAAACTTCAAAACTACAGAGATGGGGAAATTTAAAAATTAGAAACCGGGTTGAGAATAATTATGTCCTAAATTGACTAAAACGTCATGTCGCAAGATCTTCTTGATATCATGTTGAAACTGAAAAACTTTTGAATATCTCTAACTTAGACAAAACATTATATGAAATTAAAACATGGATAGGAGATCTTAAACTTATGATCATCAAGTCAAAGACAAAAATAAAATAAAATTAGGGAGTGCATTACGCATAATGCATTTTATATTCCACTTTTCTCTTGTCCTTTTTTCCTTTCTTCTTTAAAATTTGTTGGTTGGTCTCTAATAGCTTTAACAGGCCAATCTGTGTTAAGCTTGGGATTTAAGCTTGGCATAAATCACATATGCATGCCATCATTGATAACTGAAGGTTCTCCACCTTCCAATCTTCCATCACCGTCCCTTTACCCAAGTGGCAAGCAAAGGACATATCCTTTACTTGTGAGCTGCAATCAACACCAATGTCAAGATCCTTGCATGAAAGCAACACACCCTCCTCAAAACTAATTAATCACTTCATCAATTATTAACAATCAATCTTAGTAGACTCGGTTACAAACTTTTATTCACAATTTATAAAACTGTTGGACCGTTTAACTGACAACAACAAGGTACTATACCATCGTGTTTGTATTGATTCTATTTGTGCATATTTCCGCTCTTTTAAGGTAGGGATGCAAGTTTTATTTAAGTTGATTGTCAAAAAAGAATTACAAAGTCTGGACTGTATCCCATTATACATTGGCCTTTACAAAGTTTAGGGTAGAGAGCTTTTGAAAGTAGAGGGTTGCTTGTTCCATAATCTATTTTTAAGTACCTAAAGAAGCTATTTCGGTTGACTCTTTCACAATTAAAATTTGATATCCATAAAAAAATCGAAGATACCCTTTGGCCAGCTGTGTGAAATTGAAAGCAAGTTTAGCAGTATTAGTGTAGCGAGTGGACTCCATGTGTCATGTGAGTTTCATCCTTACGTATATAAGGACCCCATGAAAATATAATGCATGGCCATATCAAATCTCCCTATGCCATCTCTCTTTCTCCTTTCCCTCTCTCTCCTCTCCTCTCTCTCAGACACAGTTGAGTCTCTCTCTCCTCTCTCTCAAAGAACAGTTGAGGGAAATGTTGTCTGGTTCGAGATCTTTCAGTGAAGCTTGGATATTGTCATCATCTGAATGATTTCGGACCAGGCTTCATTCCCCTCAACTAGGAGGAATAGACTTTAGAAACATATCATGCATTAAAATGCGCCGATGAAGCCGATGAAGAAGTGCCTCTTGTCATATCTTATGTTATGAAGAATATACAGGTATATCAATTTGTTGTTTTAGTACACTGCCTTATAATTAGCTGTTTATGCAGAGAAGCTGCAGATTTTCAATTGTGGTCGGAACCGGCAACCGGAGCAACCCAACATCAGGTCGGTAATGATATATAGTTTAATTTCTATATCTTTTTCATGTTTAGAATGTTGACAAAGATATATAGTGCCAATGTGAATTACTGCAAAATTAAAAAGGCTTTCCTTCTATCCTTTTCGTTTGTTTGTTTCCTTGGTGTTCTGGTAAAGGATATAAATTGATCTCTCTCTTCCATGCCAAACCATATCTTACAAGATAAGTCAACCCTAAATAGGAAGAACTTACATGAAATTGAGACATTATGTGAGAAAATTAAAATGCATGACAACGCTGATAGAATTGAGATATCGTCTTAATATATCCCCATTTCATATAGAGAACTTTAACGAAAAGCTTCTGGTAATATTCACTTTAACGAAAAATCACATTTTTACACTAAAAAGTCAATCATGGTACTATTCACCTCTATAAATGAGAGCCTTGTGCACTGGGTACGACTTTTTTTTTTTTATCGTTAAAACTTAAAGTTTTCAAACATTTTTCATTAGTTTTCCTTTTATACAAGTATGCAAACCTGATAATACCATGTGGCTCAGACACCTACATGTGAAGTTCATAATTTCAGGTGGGGCAGATCTGCTGGATGTAGATAACTTCACAATATCTAAGTTACAAGTGTGGGTTCTGATTTTCATGTTGAAAGTAAAGCTTGGTTGAAATATAGGAATCAAACAAAGTACTTGTTTGTTTTGTGGGGTTCTTTTATTGGACTTAAGAAGGTTAGAAAAACTATTTGGGGGGTTGAAATGGTAGATTGCAAGTGAGAAAAAGGAGGGGCTGCCGACTGCCAACTAATGTGATCTTTGTCTGCTTGTATCGTGTGTGTTATTTATTTACTCATGCATATGCTATCATGACTTGGGAGCAGCCTCTCTATAAATGGAGGTAAGGCTAACCGACATTCACCTCTTCCAGACCCTACGTAAAACGGGAGCCTTGTGCACTGGGTACGACCTTTATATGCTATCATGACTTTTTCTTCATGAATCATTGTAGGGCTATTCCCTAATTTCCAACAAATTAAGGTGGAGTGATTTCAAATTTACTTATTTGGACTGGAATGAAGGGAAGAAAACATATGGATTTTGAATGATTCCTTGTATATCTTTGTTTCAACTTCTTTTCAAATGTACCACATCTAGTTATTTCAGGTACATCCAATTTTTCGTGTTCTGATTACGTCAATGATTAAATCTAGTTATTTCGTCACTTAGTACTACGGTCCGATGGTATTCCTCTATACTTGTAAATAAGATGTCTTAGGTTCGAATCTTGTGGATGATAAGTTTGATACCAAATTAGATTACTCATTGTATGATTTAGCCGAACTCATCCCTCTTTAATGTAAAAAGTAACTAGTGAATTTGTTGACTTCTCAAAAATCAAAATTGCGCAGTCAATAATGACCATTAGGCAGATAAACAATCATAAAATGTTAAAAAACTATAACCTTTTTTTTTCCTTAATAAATTACAGAGAAATGCCAAGAGGACTCTCAAAAGTAAACTCTTTATGAAGTTTCTATCACCTCATATTTTTTTTCACAATGTTTAATAATGTTAGCACGAAATTAACGTTAAACTGTGAGATGTTAGATAATCAATTACAAAATATAAGATGACTCGTGAATCTGTGTATCAAATTACTGACTTACCCACCACTAATTATGCTTGAAAAGTAACCAACAACAAACATAATCCAATCAAAGGACAGATTTTACAGGGCATCACAATCACTTGCCAAGTCAAGCAAAAGCCAGCCTGGCTTGCATGACCTAAATATGCCATGTTTTTAAGCTGTCATCATCCCAATCAACAAGATTCATAATTAAGACCTTTACTAATCACCCCCAATCATCTGGGTCTCACCATCTGACAGGAAAAGGAGGAGATAAAGGTCGTACCCAGTGCACAAGGCTCCCGCTTTACGCAGGATCTGAGAGATGTGAATGTCGGCTAGCCTTACCCCCATTTATGGAGAGGCTGCTCCTAAGTCTCGAACCCGAGACCTACCGCTCATGGGCGAAGACACTTGCCATCGCACCAACTGCGACCTCTAGGAAAAGGAGGAGATGAAAACAGAAAATTCATGTCATTAGACAGACAGTATGCTACAAAGCTTCTTAGGATTTGGAATTTCTCTTCTCCATAAAGTTTCAGAATCCGAAATTTAAGGAGAAATCATTTAACTTTGTATCCGAAGTTTTGTGTTCGAATCCAGCTCCCTTATTGTCACTTGTATCAAAATAAAAATGAAAATATTAAACTCTGATCTGCTAACTAGATGCAGCCTTAGGGTTGGTGCACTGCCTTATAGATGAGCCAAACGGGGCCATTTAGGGTAACATCTGTTGATATATGCCATTCTTTCAGTCATCACTTGCTCCACTTTTATCGCTGAATGACAAGAAAAAGCAGAGAGAGAGAGAGAGATTATGTCTGGTCTCTTTTAGTTGACATCCATCAATCTAAATTAAGTTGGCAATGTTGTTTCCTTCAGAAACAGAAACTAATTGTATGTATGTGGGTGTTTTCATTCGTGATGGAGGATATCCAATTCTCCTCAAGAATGACCAGCAGATGGTACAAGTAATAACAAAACTATATTCTACAAATTTCTTTGGTTTTATTAGTATTACACTCTACAATGCTAAAGTCTTGTATAAGTATGCTGACCTGGGCGTAGCCAAGTTGGCTAGAGGCTAGAGCAGTCTCCACTTTGCACCCAAGCTCGAATCTCCCTGCCTGTAATTTAGATTATATTAGAATATGGCTCAAATAAAGGAAAGTATTCTACGGGTAAATTATATACACAAACATTCAGACATACTCTTCACAATTTGACACTCATAGAACAACTAGCGAGGCCAGACTCTAAAACCATTTCAATTCAGCTCTTCTGACATGGGGGTTAGATGGTTTTTTTTTTTTTTTTTTTTTTTTTTGTTCTATGAAGAATGGAAAAAGATTTTGTGACCATCAAAAGGAAGGAGAACAAAAGGCTTGTAATGTATTGCAGCAGAAAATTAGTGAATAATAGTTTGCAATTCTTTTATTGAATTCTCAACATGAACATTTCACAAAATTTAAGGTTTTCATGAAATACAAAGTTTGGTACCTGTATTACAAAACTGTGAAGTCGAACAGGACTGGTTACTACACACTCTGCGGATCATGTTCTCTCTACAAAAGATTAACACTGGAGTGACATTCATAGAACAGTAACACCATGTCATAATCTGCAATACCAGGTGAAAAATGCAACTTTGACATGCACAAGCACGCTGCACTAGGTCTTCTTTCTTTGCAACCTTGATTCAGAGGAGTTGCACAAGCACTGCAATTGAATGCATCTTCAATCCATCATTACACCATCCATGTGATCTCCATCATTACACCATCCATGTGATCTGCCCTCGTACAGACCCCAGTCACCCCACCACTGAAGTTTTTGCTTTGAGTTTAAGACCATAGCAATGCACCTTCACATCTTGAAACTTCTGGTTGAATGTGTGAACAGAATCACAAGACTTTCTGATTAGGAGTAATGAGTGAAAAATCATGCGAGAGACTTTAAACTTATCATGTCATCTTGCACTGGCTAGTGGTAGGAAATGTTGGAAGCAAGTCCAGACATTTACGATATTTTTCATCCTTCGACAGTAGGTCTATGACAATGGAGACTGTAATGGCATCTGGTGACAGATTTCTTTCTGCCATCTTGTGAAGAATTTCGACCACTTTTGCCGAGTCATCATTTTGGCAGAAACCACGCATGAGGATATTATAAGTGATGATGTTTGGAGCACACCCCTTCCCTTCCATTTAAAAACAAACCATTTGCCTTTTCCAGTTGCCCATCTATACAGAGCCCATGGATCATCATGGAATATGTTACAACAGTCGGCACCAGGCCTCTATTTGACATTTTGTGGAATAGGTCCCAAGCAATTTCAAGCTTTCCTGCTTTGCATAACCCATCAATAAGGCAGCCAAACATTTCAACACTAAGCTTGAAGTTGCTATTTTCTAAAGTATGGAAAATTTCCATCGCCTCTGTTAGGCAATCGTTTTTGCAAAGCCCGTCCATGAATATTGTATATGTAGTTGAATTTGGTAACAGATTCTGAGTTGGCATCTCACTAAACAATTCTTGTGCATCCTGAACTTTACCCATCTGAAAAAGACCAGTTAATAAGGCATTATATGTTATTACTGTTGGCCTAACTCCTTTGTTAATCATTTCCTTGTAAAAATGGGTAGCTTCCTGTATCTTCTTATATTTGCAGTATCCATTGATCAACACATTGTAGCTAATGGCATCAGGTTCACAACCTCTACTTGGGATAGAATTAAAGAGCTCTCTTGCTTCATTGAGCCTACCCGCCAAACACAAGCCGTCAATCAAAATGTTGTACGTAATTATATCAGGATCTATGCCTCTACGAATCATCAACTTTAACAAGTCATTACTTTCTTTCACATTTCCCCTTCTGCAAATTACTCCTATCAACACATTGAATGTTACCAAATTAGGCTGGACACCCTGATCCACCATCTCATTTAACGTAGCTTTCGCTGCTTCCCATTTCTCATTGTAATACAGACCGTGTATCAAAGAACTATATACATTCACATCAGGAACAATCCTTCTACCTTTCATTTCTACGAAAAGTTCTTTCGCCTTATCTACCAACCCGGCTTTACAAAGCCCGTCAATGATGGTCCCATAAGTAAACACATTCGGCCGACAACCAACACTATAAGCACCACTCCCATTAGCCATTCCTTCATGCAACCTAAGCGCAACGTTCACGTTACCCGTTCGACACAACCCTTTAATCAATGTACTAAAAGTAAACTCATTAGGATGGCACCCCAACTTTACCATTTTCTCAAACAACCCTGTTGCCTCAAAAATTTTATCCTCCCTACACAACCCTTTAACCAAACAAGTATAACTCACAGTGCTTGGTAGAAATCCCCTTCTAAAAAGACTCCCCATAACCACAAAACCATCGCCAACCCGATTGGCAATACAGCAGCAATTAAGCAAAACATTAAGAGTAATGAAATTTGGCACCAACCCAGCTGATATTATCGCATTGTAAAGTGGAAAAACTTGAGAGAAATGCTTACTTTTTGCAAGTCCACTGAATAAAAGATTGAATGAAGAAATTGGAGGAGTGGGTTGCATTCGAATCATGTGACTAAAATATTGCAGAGCTTCATAGAGAGTGAAATTACCCGACCTGCAGTTGGATTCGAGGAATTTCTGAAGTGGGGGTTGGATTGGGAGATTGGGAATTGGGGTTTTTGGTGGAGATTTTGGATTTGGAGAAGTGGGTTGTGAGGATTGGTTCGTCGGGACGAAGAAAGGTGAAAGCTTGGTTGGAGTCTTGGGATTTGGGGATGTGGGTTTTTGTGGGTTTGTGAAGAAAGATGATAGCTTGGATTTTGAAGTAGCTACCGAGGAGCTCATCGGAGCGGTAGAAAGCAGAAGAGCTTCAGCAAATGCTGCTTCGTTTTTGGGGAGCGCGTTTTAGCAGGTAAACAACTTAGGTTTATATAAAGCTTGCACACAGATAAATATAATAAATTTAAAAAATTTAAAATAAAAAAAAAAAATATATATATATATATATATATATATATATATATGAAAAGCTGAAAAGCTGAAAAGTTAGAGAGTGAAATTATATTACAGTTTATGATTTTATTTTATAATAGAAGAAGTTATCTTTTTACTTTATTTTAATAGATCAGAGATTTTTATTAAAAGTGTTTACAATGTAATGCTCTTGATAAGAGCGGAACCGATGAGGTGTAATAATGTGAAGGTGTCGGTGAAAATTTCTCACTTGCAGACTTTACCAGTTAATGTAAAAGGTATGGACAAATTTAACGTAAAATGAATGCATTAAATTTAAGTGCACGGATTTTTTTAATTTTTTACAAGGTAATACTCTAAATCATTCTAAATTATGACAAAAAATTTTAACTTAAATACAACAAATTTCGAATTGATGTAAATCACGTAAGCAAAAAAGTGGATTTTTCTTTTAACAAAAAAAAGTGAATGTTTGAAATTCTTAAAAGTGGGGAATGTATACTTACTAAAAAAATACTTTAGTCATGGCTTTTTTATTAGCACCTCAAACAATGTTGAATAAATTCCGCATTTTAAATAACTTATAAACCCTAATATACAATGACAATTTTGACCTAATTAAATATACAAATAGAGCACCACCAGAAAATGGAAGACATGGCCGGCCACCACCGGTTAACAACACCATATTTGGATGGGAATGAACAAAGCTTCCCATTTGAGGATTAAGGTCACTTGTCCATTTCGTATTGCGTTGAACCCCGCAGGTGTTTGTCATAGCAATAAAAGCAAGGGCAAGTAAGACGGTGAAACAATCCATTATGTGGGTAAAGCCCATATGGATCACGATTGTTTTCAGTATAAACAATCAGTATAATGTCCAGAAAAGTATGAAAGCAACAGTTGCTCGTATTGCTTGGGAAAGGGATGAGGAGCTCCACTATGCATGCGGGACCCAAAAGGATTGTCATATATAGGATAATTGTTTGAATTATGCACAAAACAATGTGGATTGTCTATATAAAATGTGGAGTTTATGTTGAGAGTGTAGTGTGTGAAAATATTATTAGAAGTAATATGCGGTATATTAAGATAAATTTTATTGAAAAAGCAAATATGAGTACATTAAGTACGTGGGATGTATTCAATAATATATGAATTGTTAATAAAACAACCCTTAGTGATTAGTTGGGATTTGCCATGTTATATATTTTATTTGATTCCATAGAATAACATTATCATTGTTTGCCTAAAAAGTTAATTTAATATACACGTGTCACCACTCAATAACAACAAACTATCACGATTAACCCGCACTCACAAAAACCAGACGCAAATCCCAAATTCTCTTTCTTTCACAATCCAAATCAAACAAAAACAAAACAAAAAAGAATAAAAAATAAATAAATAAAAATATTCATAGATTCTTTCTTCAAATCTTAGCAATTTTCCTGGAATTTGTAAGAGACATGCAGAAAGATATGAAATATCATGGAACAAAACTAGTCACCCTCTTGATATTGGCCTCTTCCGTCGCTCTTTGCTTCCACCCTCCATCCAAAAACCTCTCTCCTTTTTCATTCCCCGTCACCTCTCCCTTTTCTTCGGATCACACCTTCTCTCACATCCTTGTAGCCTCCTCCATCGGCATCGTCGTCGCCGCCGCCCTTCATTACCGCCTCCGAAAGCACAAGGATCACAAGATCGTCCCCCGCCTCAAGGTTTCCGACTCAGTCCGCGTTCATCAGAAGCTCGAGAGGTTTCCCCACTACGTAGGTAATGATTACGTGATCGTCCGCTTGTTTTTCATGGCCTTTGTGATCCGCAAGGTGTGTTTTGTGGTTGAATGTTTTCGGGGTTGTGGGTGCAGCTAGGCAGCTGGGATTTAAAGACAGAAGAGAATGTCCGCAGCTCTGCAAGTTAGCCACTGAATACATTAGAAAATTTGAGGGGTTTGAGGAGGACATCTACAACTTCTTTGCTAGTGAACCGGATGCAGATTCGCTCTTCGTGAAACTTGTCGAGGAGTTTGAGAGATGCATTCTCAGTTATTTTGCATTTCACTGGAGCCAAGCTGACCTGATGATTACTCAGGTGATTAGGATCAACAACAAAATATATGAATGATAATGTGAATGTGTTCGTGATGCATTTTTTTCGTAATTTAGCCATACAACGTAGAATCCCTGTGATATATTTCTCCGTGAAGCCGAAACTAACAACAATTTATGAAATTTCAGATCTTGAGCAGTGATGGTGAGCCTAGAAAGAAGCTCAAGAACATTGTCATGGCAGCAACCAGGTGGGAATTTTTTTTTTTTTTTTTGGTAGTGCGTGTGCGCGCGTTAATAAGAATGACAATTGATATGCTAAAATTGAAGTTTCTAGGAATACTAATTAACCACAATTATGATATAGAGAACAGAGATTCGAGAGAGTGACGAAAAGTTTGAAGGTGGCTAGAGTTTTCACTACCTTAGTGGAGGAGATGAAGGCAATGGGACTCGCAGCGCCAGATGACTCGACGTGTACAGAGGTGATGGCTCCGGTGGCTCACGCAGATAGAAGTCCGGTCCTACTCCTCATGGGAGGTGGAATGGGAGCAGGGAAGAGCACTGTGTTAAAGGACATTCTCAAAGAGTAAGGAAAATTCTACATAAAACCAACTTCTTTTGGAACAGCTTTGAAGCCTCATTCTATATTTGGATCATAACCATTACTAAACTAATCATATTATCAAGGACATCAGAAGCATAACGAATTACTGAGAAGTAATATTTCCAAATTCAGCCGTCATAGTTAGGCCAAAGAAAAAATCATTTTATGTTTGACTGAAAAGAAAACGAAAATTAAAGCGGTGAGAAGCTAACGCAATCTTTATGGATGAAATGTGTTACAGACCGTTCTGGGCTGGAGCAGCGGGGAATGCAGTAGTGATTGAGGCAGATGCCTTCAAAGAATCAGATGTCATATACAGAGCTCTCAGCTCCAGAGGCCATCATGATGACATGCTTCAAACAGCGGAACTGGTATATATATATCAACTCTCTCTCTCTCTCTCTCTCTCTCTCTCTCTCTCTCTAACTTCGCAGCATGCCATATAGAAGTATTCGTTGCATAGCCTTTTATGGCTGAGTTATATTACCTGAAGGGGCAGCTGATTACAGTGCATCTCTATCCTTGATCTGGATGAAGAGTTGATCCTTCACAACTAAGAAAACTGTCCAATTATACTCTCTACTTTCTGCGTCTCCTTTTCCTGTCTCGATTAGAATGCTGCAGTGAAACTTTAGATGAACTCAACATGCAGAATTTACTCAAAAACTGATAAAACTATACTAAACAGGTACACCAATCATCTACAGACGCAGCATCATCCCTCCTCGTCACAGCGCTTAATGAAGGGCGGGATGTCATCATGGACGGCACACTCTCTTGGGCACCCTTTGTTGTGCAGACGATAACAATGGCCAGAAATGTTCATCGCCGCCGCTACCGCATGGGACCTGGTTACAGGGTGAATGAGGATGGAACTGTCACTGAAAACTATTGGGAACGACTTGATGATGAAGAACCAGTACAAGTAGGAGGCAGAAAGAGAAAACCATACAGGATAGAGCTCGTTGGAGTCGTGTGCGACGCTTATCTAGCTGTTATAAGAGGCATAAGGTAACAATACTAGTCAAAGATACCTCATTTTTCTTACATTTTTCTTCTTTTCACTCTCAAATTGTAGTCAGAAAAACATTGATGCATGAAAGTGGACATTCTCAATGACAACAGGAGAGCTATCATGGTTAGAAGAGCAGTGCGAGTAAATTCACAATTGAAATCCCACAAGAGATTTGCAAATTCATTTCTAACATATTGCCAACTGGTTGACAACGCGAGACTATATTGCACGAATACATTGGAAGGCCCGCCTAAGGTACGCCTGCTATCCCTTCTTTTCGTATATCTTCCTTTCCAGTACAACGAACCTGCAGACTTTCACATAACCAAGCTCAATAAGGAAGAACTTTCTTGGTTAAAGTTCAGATAACATAACAGTACAAACTTACGTTTCCTTTGATGGCTTAGATTTTTATGTCTCCTAGCCTCGGAAAACATAGCCGTTGCACCCTGAACCTTAAAACATGTCTGATGAGCCTGGCCCAACACCTGAACTCAAGATGTATAGAATGATATAATTAGTCAATCATGTATATTAAAGATAGTGCGCTTATATAGCAGTCTAAACATCAAAAACGTGATACTAAGATAGTAATTTTTGTGAAGTTGATAGGATGGAAAGACAAAGACAGAACATTGCTTGTGGATCCAGACGAAATCGACTGCTTAAAAAGGGTGGGCAGGTTAAATGACATGGCAAATTCCATATACGAACTTTACAAGCACCCTAACCCAGCTTGTAAAACCGGGTCAGTCTGGAAGGACATTGTCTTATCGCCTTCAAGATTAAACATTCAAAAGGAGCTCAAGTACTCCATCCAGAAAGTTGAAAGATTGAAACACTAAAACAATGGAACCAGCCAAGTAGCGTATTAAACCTCTTATCTTCACAGCTCAGAAGACAGAGACTGGACAAAGCATCGGAAGTTTTCCATATTTGCAACCAATGAATATTTTCTCTGCGTTGTACCAAAGATGAGGAGCTTTTTGTCTGTGTTGTACCAAAAGTGAGGAGTTTACTCCTAAGATATACAGAAACTGAAGATATGAATGTTCAAATTCGAACTTATCTTAGTCAATGGTCATAGGCATATATTTCTGAGATTGATAACTGAATTATTTTCGTTGTATGAACTTCATTAGGTCAAACGAACAATACAGAATGGCAAGTCCCGGAATACCAGTTAAGAGTTAAGCATTCATCCGGTAATATATATCCTGTATAATCTACAACTATGTAACTGCCAAATATTACCTGTCTTGGTTATATCCACAGATCCCCAGCTCACTGCCAAATAAATTCCACTCCAGACGGTATTATGGAGTTGACACTGGGGAACCAACTTGACTTAAACATTACACAACGAACACCTGAGGAGAAAGACCAAAAACATTCATATCTTCTGAGCCATTGTTCATTACTTTTTGTTGCGCTGATTCTTTCTCCACTCTATCACGAGTCATAGGAATAAAAGAGATTTTCTAAGCTAGGACCATGCATCTAAAGCGTCAAAGCAAAAAATCAACGTATAGATGACAAAGAATGAATACCTGCCTGCCTGATATCAGTCAGCTACATGAGATGCTTAGCCTGGGATTGAGGTTGAAAACCTGCACTCCGTCAGGTAAATAAAAGTTAGGAAATAAAAAGGGGAGAAAATGATACATAAATGAGAGGGGAAGACAGAGATCTCTCAAGACAAGATCAGTAGTAAACATGGTTAACCTTTAAAGAAAAAAAATGGTAAAAGACATGCCTGCCTGTGTTTCTCTACTCCTTGGTCGTCGACTCATCAGCAACAACTCTTTCCTTTGGCATTGTTGTTTCATAAGTCCAACGGTTCCTTTCACATCTCTTGAGTAGCTTGTGAATCCGGCAGCATAAGAACATATCCACATATGCACATGAAGTGCATCCAACAACTTAATGCCAAACGTTGATGCAATCCTTTAACGATTCTCAGTGTTTCTCATCTCAAGTTGCTCAAAATCTTATTTCCACCAAACAAGTTCTCCAGTTGCTCTAGGTTTTGTGTAATTTACAAACCTGGGATCTAACTATCAAGCGTTTGTTGTAGTTGAAACTAGCATAGATATAAGAATAGCCTAAGTTCGGGGTAGAAACTCCTGGTTCCTAGATAGAACGATTTCTTTAACCTAAGTTTCAGTTGTGTAAGGTGAGCAAACAGAATAACGAAAGAATGTAATTTTTGCATGGCATTACATTCACAAGTATATAAATGTAACCACGATGCTGAAAATGGAACAATAAGCAGACAAGGGAAACATGGACCAGAAAAGGCAACTGAAAACAACATGGAGACTGGAACAGAGTTTTAAGAAATAAATTACCAGAAACAGCATATAAGAAATGGAAACCTCCTAGGAGATTCACATCTAGGTTATAATCCCTCCTCAGGCTAAATCTTTGTAATTTATCACCTGGTGTAGCAGGCAGGCAAGGTAATGCTCAGCTCACACTAAACGCGTTTCATGTTTTGCGCATCTCAACTTGTTGGGCTAATAGTATCATAATCAGTAAGGAAGCTATGTATTCTGCTCATTTCAAGTCACTACCATGATCGAAAATAAATCTATTACATCCAAGAGTTGCCAAAATCAGAGCAAATAGGTGATAGTAAAATGAACACCGGCTCTCAGTACTTTCTTTTCTGATCTCGCATCCCTACATTCTAACAATCGGGTATGATTTGATAGTAAAATCGGGTATGATTTGATTCAGTAGTTGTATTTCCAGTATGATCCAACAATCCTCTCGTGTAATGAACCTGTTCCATGTCTACGATGTAGCACTGACTCCCGAACCCTACTTATTCACATCATTTATCTCCGAATCTCAGCCATATATCAAAGATTTCTCTTGCCTATCTCGGCCACATATCAAAACATTTCTCTTGCCGGATTTGTTTCTACCATCTTATCGACGGGGCTTACACGTCTACTTTGCCGATATCTGTTTCCATGTAAACCTACATTGCCTGATTTTTTATATACATGCGATATTAGAGGAGCCGAGACCCAAAAACAGTTAACGAACAATCGAAATTGGGAAGAGGAACCAAACACAAGTAATGAAAACCGAAGACTAAATTACTTTAACCTAATATTGTTATGAGCATTGGGGTTTTTTCTAAATTTCCATAAGTTTGAATTGAAATCTACGCACGCAGATGGTTTGGGAGTTTACCAAGCTTGGAAAAGAAGCAGGCTAGCGTCTATGAAACGTCGTCGCTTCCTTTTTGGATCGTTCACGCGATTGGAATATGCAGAATAATGCTAAAATGCGCAGGGGGGAACACGATAACTCTTCCTCTTCTCTAATTCATCAACTCAAATGTACTGTACTTTGTTACAATCCGATCCCAAACTCTCCCCCACAAAACCCTAGACAAAAATAAACAGACCGATCTTCAGGCACAAAATTACTCGAAAATGGAAAATATAAAATAAATTCCGGATTTTATATTCCTTTTTTATAACTGCAGAGACGGAGAGATTTACAAGACTACCCCTACAGACCAACTAGACTCTCTTCCTCTCTAAACTCTCTCACTTCCTTCCTCTGCGAGCTGGAGCTTTCCTCGCCGGCGACTTCACGCTCCGCGCAGGAGCCTTCTTCGGAGCCGACGCTTTCTTAGGGGCAGGCCGGGGGGTCGGAGCTTTCCTTCCGGGAGACGACCTCGTCAGCGTCCTCGACACCTTGGCTGGCTTCTCCTTTGGCTTCGGCTTCGGAGCAGCCGCCTTGGGCTTGGCAGCAGCAGCTTTTGGCTTGGCGGCCGCGGGTTTAGGCTTGGCGGCGGGTTTAGGCTTGGCAGCAGGCTTAGACTTAACCGGAGCAGCCGCTTTGGGCTTCGGAGCAGCAGCTTTTGGCTTAGCTGCGGGCTTTGCCTTCGGTTTCGCCTTAGGCTTGGCGGCAGCAGCCTTTGGCTTGGCCGGAGCTTTGGAAGCTGGCTTTTTCCCTCCCTTAGGCTTCGCAGCAGGAGCTTTTGCCTTGGGCTTAGCGGCCGGCTTCTTCTTCACCGGAGAAGCAGGCTTCGGCGCCGAGGACCTCACAGGCGGGATCTTGTAGGAGTTTTTGATCTTAACGATCTTATCAGAACTCACAAGCTTCTTCAAATGGAAGAGCAGAAGCTTCTTGAAGTTGGGCGGCAGCTGCTTGTGCTTCTCCTCGATGAACTTAGTGATCGCGTACTGGCTCGAACCAGTCCTTTCCTTCAAAGTCACAATCGCGTCCTTAACCATCTGCAGAGACAAAATCGAACCGGAAAAATCAGATCGTAAACCCTAAATTCCCAAAACTTGCAGCACACGAATCGAGAAATTGAGGATTCGAATTCTAGAAAATTCCAGAAAATGCGTTACCTCTTCGTACGGAGGGTGAGCGGGAGCGGCTCTCGGCTTCCTCGGAGCAGGTGCCTTCTTCGCTTTGGGCTCCTTGGCCTTGCTGGGCTTACCGGGATTGTCTGCCGGTTTGTCGTCCGCCGTCTCGGCGGTGACCGGCTCGGGAGGAGGATTCTCGACCGTCTCGATCGCGACGGCCACGGTTGTTTCTTCGGTCGCCATGCTATCGAATTCAAAAGCTAGGGTTAGGGTTTGGAAATGGAGGGGAAGGGGAAGGGGGAGGAGGACTGAAATTTCAAAGAGGGAAGAGAGAGAGAGATCTGGATCGACCAGCAATGTGCGTGTGTTGATTCACAGGTAGTTTCGTTGTGTGAGAAGATGACGGAAATTGGACGGTTTAAATAGTCAAGTGCGTGAGGGACGATATCCCAAAGCTGAGCGCTGATTGGTGGAGTGCCCCAGCACGCGGATCGCTGCCTTTGAGGAAGTTTGAATGTGGGCCTTTGGATGAACCGTTGTGGACGGTTGTGGATGCTCCGGGTGGGAGAGGTGTAAATGGCTGGGTTTGGAAAATGAGGTGTTCATTCTTGCTTTGGGTGTGCTTTTGTGCTCAACTGATTTGATCACAAGTTGAGATTCACTTGATGGATTTGAGTGAAATCTTTTTCACCTTGTAGGAAACTATCTTAGCTTTCCGACGAGTGTTTTTTCGTGTTTTTCCGATTACGGGTTTGGGATTTATTCGGATTTGAAGCCCCAATGGTCAGGATTAGGGTTTATAATGATGTTATTGTCATCTCGAGCGATTTTCGAAGAATGCTCCGAACCGAACCAGGATTTTTTCACCACACCCGATACATACGTAGTTAAGGAACGCGCCGGTTCAAGAATCACAAAAATCTGAGCAGATTCGGGTGTAGAAAAGTGGATCGGAACATGGATGAAGTTGCACAAAAGTTTTACTCTTTGTGCAAAGGTGTGACATATTACATGTGGTAAGTATCCTATTTGTAAAAAAATCAAATGACCTAACAAATTAGCACTAAATCTATACGATCAGTGACATCAAAAGTGATCTTGGAACATAAATCCAAGTGAAATCCAAATCAAATGGTCATTGGGTTGATTTAGAATTAAGTACATATGTTCCTCTAGCATGTAGAACATTGACACATATGCCACTTGCAACTTATGTAACCTGGCATGGTCGACTTCTTTCTTATCCTTTTATACCTTCAAAAACTGAGGACAACACTGTATTTTTACCCCAGATTAAAGCAAATTTTGATGTAAAATATGTAGTAGGTAAACAATAGTTCTTAGTTTTTTGCTTATCTCACTCACTGGATTGCTAATTGCACCTATCAAAAGGGTTTACATACCCAGAAGTTGCTAGCAGCTTTTGCTGCACCTTATATTTTCCAGAACCTCTTACATATGTTGCATCAAAACTCGTAATACAATTAAATTCATCTGTAAATTAAGAAACTAATACTGGAAATTTCGGTGCAGTGAAGTGACTTGGACCATACACAAGAACAACATAATCTTCGGTTGTCATAGGTATGTCGTTTTGGTACCACGAAATTATCCATTACATTCCGCCAACCAAACGGGACCTCAGATTCCTCGCGCCGGATGGATGTTAGCTCTTTCATGTACATAATTGTTTCCTGCATCTGCTTCAACCAACCGTGGTACAAATGCAGATAATGCACCTGCTTTCAACTTCAAACTTGTGAAAGTTACTAGCTTGTTCTTCCCAGATTTTGTGCAGCGTTGAATTAACGGGTGGCTTTGATTGATTGAATTTTCGTGTTTCCTTTGCTTACCATACGCATATAGATTATTATGTTGCCTGTATTACGACATTCAGTTGGACGCATACATGAATTAGCTAACAAATACTGGAAATTTGCATCATGGCCTTGCAGCCAAGTGACTCGGACTTCTCACACGAACGTCTTCCTTTTGTTACAATCTATCATTTTGGTAACTCGAAACAATCCAATGCATTCCGCTACCAAACGGGCCCTCAGTTTCCTCGCATCAAAGGAACCTTAGCTCTTTCGTATACATACTTGTGTTCCTGCATCTGCTTCTTTCGTATACATACTTGTGTTCCTGCATCTGCCTCAGCCAAGCATGGTAAAAAATGTACAAACACCAACTTTCAACTTTAACTTGTGAAAGTTACTAGCTGGTTCTTCCCTTGTTTTGTGCAGCGGACGAAACCAACGGGTGCCTTGATCGAATTATGTAGTTTTCTTACTAACTAATACACGTACAGATTTTGATATTATCTAAGTCGACCTAGTCCTCCCATTTCCTTCTTAAACAACTAATTACATAACAACTTGAATTAT